CTCCTTATCCTCAGGCGAAAGTCGGTCGTACATGGCGCAACCCGACACAAACGCTGTAGTACCAAGCGGGACAGTCAGCTCCTCATTGGTTCCGTCGTCGTAGACGAGGGTCTGTTTGCGACCTCCTGGAACACGGACGGCGAGGAGTGATGTCACCACTGGGGGAGCGAGGCCGTACAGAGCGGCGTCGATGTGCCATCTGTAGAACCTGGTAAAGTCCAGATCCTTCTCATCTGGGATAGTGGTGGCATGGAATGTGCGATGGTGAGGATGTCGGAGCTGAATGTTCTTCAGTCCTTCGTACTCCTCAACAAAGCCATTTCCAATGACCTGGACTTGGGGTTGATGAGGGATGGTCTTGAGATCAGGGTGGAGGATAGAGCGCTTTGCGTCAATGGTCTTTCCATGGCCATAAGAGCCCGCAGCTTCAGGATCGAAGCGCTGGGTAATATCATACTGGGCCTTGGGGGAAAGATGGTTCTGGTTCTTGAAGACGAGAACTTGGTGGGTGAAGAGTGCTTCACGGATTACGTCAAAGTCGGCATCTGTAAACAGTCAGCCTGGGCTCGTTGTTGATGAGAGATGTGTCTTACCAGAGGAGGTTACCGATTTCACGGGTATTCTCCCACTATGCGTTGTTTCAATTATTCACGAATATGCTTTTGATATCTTACCACTGATGTTTTCAACGTCAACGTTTGAGACGATGGCGCCAAAGTCAATGTTTGACCCAGCGGGTGTTGAGATGGGAGTGACTGTTATTTGAGAGGCCATTGCGATGATCTTGTTTGAAGAATTCTTGTAGCAAGTCTTTGAAAAATCCTGGTATTGAATCTGTTCCAGCGAAGTCAAGGGGATCTGTTTGTCTTTTATATCGCTATCTGAGGTCCATCGTTAGAGCGGGTCGCGGCGGTCGCCTATCTCTCTTATCTGCTCCGAGGATAAATCCGCTTTCGTTATCTCTCCGTACTCCGTAGCAAGTTACACAGTCGATAGTAATCTTATCACCGATTTTGCTTATCATATGACTTCTTTTGTGCTTCTCCAATCTTAGAATGATGTGGCAAACAATTGAGATTCTGTAAATTCCGTTGATATCTCAAGGAGATAGAACAAGGTCGCCCGCCAGAAAGAAAGCGCTTTCGCACAAGCATGCAAGTAGAACAAACGTATCTCGTTGGCCGCACATTTGATGATATGATCAAGCTCATGAAGTTGAATTTCACCAGTCACTCAGATGGTAATCGCCGTGATCATGGATATTATGAAGGTGTTCTTGTTTCTGCAAGGTATGCATTGAAAGAAGATGTATATTTAAGATTACTTCTTTATTGTTCGTAATTTTAAAGCACTTGATGCATGAGAACTCTGGAGCATGAAAGAATAACATACCTGTTGAGCAACTGAACATACTGTCCTGCCCTGTTTTCTTTGTGGTACTGGATTCAGGTTCAATCACTAATCCTTTGAACAGAGGCAAATTAAGTAGGTTAGCTGCATGATGAAGGTCGTGATCTCTCAGTGACTGGCTGGAAGTGGTATATGTGCGTAAGTAATTCAATAGCCTAGAGATTAGTATAAGATAACCATATACGAATCGTGATCTTTTTGGATTCTAAAGGGCCACCATCATCGAGAAATAACTCCAAGGTCCTACATCATGTCTTCTTCAGTACCAGAACGCAGACAGCTTAATGCCTTCACCAGCTTTCCCAAGCTACCACCAGAACTGCGACTCATGATATGGGAAATGGCTCTTGATCGACCTCACCATACAGTCCACGTGTACCCTTTCGAAGATAACACTGACCATAAACCGATTAGTAGACTGGCACTTAATTTCATCCTCGAGAGAGAGTATGGTTTGTGTATGAGGCATAAAGGTGAGATGGTAAGTGAGCACGATGAAAGAGGAAGAGACAGGGGCATGTGGAGGGCATGCAGAGAGTCCAGGCAAGTCATGAAAACGAGCACCAGGGGCCCAATCGAATCATATTTCGATAATCCCTTCATAGCTCGACTTACCAGTATCATGAATGCGGATATTATACATCTCGTGTGTGTCCCCTATCCCCTGGACGAAATTATCACCATGGGGATAAAACCCGGCCAAACCATCACGAAAAGAGTTGGCAGGGCTATAAAGTCAGAAAATATTTTCCTGATTGATATCAAACGCCCTTTACATCGCATGAGCGCCCGTCTAGCTGTGTGGAGGTTTGACGACTGGTTTGCGCCACTTGGCCGAGTCTTTCTTGTCGACTACGGCTTGAAGCGAAGTAGGCCTATAGAGCCTGGGGCTAGTGTACCTGATGTTATATTCGAGAAAAACGGGAGGAGGTTTGTCAAGGTTCGCATGGATGGTGTCGGGTGGGAGAATGACGTTCCGGGACAAAGAAACCAGCATGTGCGCTATCTCATTCCCGACGGGTATCGTATTAGATTCCACATTGCCGCCTGCGAGTATGTATAGGAGTGTGACAGATGTTATGAGGTTAGAGAACTGAGAGGGACTTGGGCGTGTTGGAGGGCATATTTTGAGTCAGGAGCAGTAAATACAAGTAAGTAGACGAGCCCGAAATAACACATCGCTTGGCAGAATACATGGGTCATGTCATACATTGCACTGACTGTTGAGATATTAAAACCGAGCTTGAAATATAAAGTGTTCTGTAGTTCTCTGCCCTACTCTGTAAGGTACCAGCTATTCGCTCCAGAAGGAGGGCTCAATTCCGCTGCTGTAGAGATGCGGCTTATCCCGAGATGGGAGCTGGATCACGCAGTGACCATTTTCGGAGGCTCGTTTCAATTACCACTGAAACGCCCAAGCTCACTGAACAGATAAGATAGATAGTGAGTCCCATCAGATAATAAACTTGAGCGGTCAGAAGATAAATCTGATCTGATTGTGACTAACAATCCCGAAGCCACCTCAACGGCAATTGTCCGTCCAAGCAATGGCGCAATCGCAACCTCCATCCCCATTAGGAAATTCCAAGGGCTAATCAACACCGCGATTATCTCTCTTGAACCTAGAAACCGTGTAAGCCTCAATTGGCACCACCTCAATTAACAAAATCCCCAGATTCGTAGCACTCGTAAATAACGTCATCCCCAATTGGAGGTCCTGATTGGCTAGTTTCGCCGTCGACATGCTTAGCCTGTTTCGCTGATGGTGGGAGTACGACTCCGTGATATTGCAGCTCGAGCACGCAATACACCAACAAAGGCGTCATTACACTGCGGGGGCCGGTAACGGATGGTACCTGGGGAAAAGGGTATATATAAGATCATTGCCGAGGATAGCTTTTGATGTCAATTAACTCACTATTCAAATTGGAATTGCTGTCTTGTCTTTATAGCGTCCTCTTACATCAATTACGTACAATGGCTCCAGGTGCTCTCATCGACGAGTCTTCTCAGACTCCTCTCCCCCAAGTCAAGAACGCAGATGCCCCTCGTTCAATCTTTCCCGATGGCATCCGTACCTCGGGTCAACATCCTCCTCTTTATGACGCACTAAAGCCTTACTCTGAATTCCCCAAGGAGATCACAGGTCCTACGCTTTGGAAGAAGGAGGACTACGAGAACTCACCTGAGCGATGGACTCATCCTTTCACCGATGAGGAGATTCAAGAGTTGAGCGATACTGCTGATGCTTTCATCGCCAGTGGCACTCCCCTCACTGGTATCTCCAAGGTATGATGGCAGTATCACAAGACAGTTTTCAAAACTAACATGTTCAGTCAAACTTCCCTCTTCCAAAGTTGGGTAGAGTCCTCGAGACCCTTCGAGAAGACCTTCTCAACGGCAAAGGCTTCATTCTTTTCAAACGCTTCCCAGCTGGAGAATGGGGTCCTCTCAAGAACGCAGTAGCCTACATGGGTCTCGGTACATACATCGGTTACTTTGTCTCCCAAAACGGCCTGGGCCATGTCCTCGGCCACGTCAAGGATGTCGGTGATGATGCTACACAAATCGACCGCGTTCGTATCTATCGCACAACAGCTCGTCAGTACTTCCATGCCGATGACTCTGATATCGTCGGCCTTCTCTGCGTCCACCGTGCCAAGGAAGGTGGTGAGAGTGACATTGTCAGCATTCACAATGTCTGGAACGATCTTCAGAAGAACAACCCCGATGTTGCTGAGCTTCTGACACGACCAATCTGGTACTTTGACCGCAAGGGCGAGACATCAGTTGGTGAGGAGGAATGGATCCGAAACCCCATCTTCTACATCGAGAACGGTGGCCAGGGTCGAGTTTACTGCAAGTGGGATCCTTACTTTGTGAGATCTCTCACAAGATTCTCCGACAAGGGTCTTATTCCTGCTCTGAGTGAGGAGCAGAAGCATGCTATGACTGTGCTGGAGGAGACTTGCCAGAAGTTGGCTTTGCATATGATTCTTGAGGTTGGTGATATTCAGTTCGTCAGCAACACGCATCTCCTCCATGCACGAACAGCATACACAGGTAAGATATCACATTCAACGATCGTGCCAGGTATGAGAGTACTGACATCTTACAGATCATCTTCCTCCCGTTCCTCGAAGACATCTTCTTCGACTATGGCTCTCTACTCCCGAGACTGAGGGCGGATGGGCCCTTCCTTTCCATGATAGCAAGGAGAAGAAGAGAGGAGGAATTCAGGTTAACAACACTGCACCAAGATGCCCTCTAGATGCAGAGTAAAAGTCCTTTTTTGATATATTAGCGGTCATCATTTCACAAGAATTAGCATATAAGAATAATAACAGTTAAAGATAATGAATCCCTTGAGAATGTGATTACTCTATGCCTTTCTCCCCTACCTCGTTCAAGTCTTGATTTGTTTGCTTGATATCTCTGCGGGATATGAGGCTCATCGAACCAAGTTCAAAACACATCGTTCTTATCAAGCAGTATTTGTCTGTCTATGTGCAAAGACGTCCCTTCTAATCCATTATCAACTTTATTCCAATCTAAACCGTTGAGGTTCAAGAAGATCTATGCTCTACCTTCTAAAGAAACCACGTCAAAGGCCTCATGAAAAAAGCAATCAAAAGAACAATAACAACCGGCAAGTACGCAATCATTTTAGACCAGTCAACATCCTCTATCAAGTCCTCAACACCTGGAGAAACCAAGTTGAAAGGGAATTGGGGAGGATACAGCTCCCTTCGTCGTCGTCCCCTTTCAAGAAGATGATGTGCCTCATTCTCGATAGCCACGATAATGCTGTGGTACCCAGCCAAACTACTGCGCACGTATAGCGTCTGACGAGGCTTGTCATACGTCCATTCTACGTTGGTTCCGTGGACACGTAACTTGTGTGCGTCGTAGTGATACCCCGGGATGAAAATCTCAGTGAGGTGTGCCTTGTCATCGGCAGGTTCTTTGGTCGCTGTGCTGGTCCACTCATATTCGAAGCGTAGTGATTTATGGTTCCAGTTGGACTTTTTAGGAATGCCGGCTGTCTTCACAGCATATGGTCTGATGATAACGTCGAGGATACGACCACCTTTGTAAAGCTCGTCATGCTCGTGGAGATGATTCCGGTAGTCAGGTCGTACGGGGCCATTCTCGCTGAGCTCGTCGCCATTGATGACAGAGAAATCCTCATTGTTCCACCCGTCACCGTACTCAACTCTGTTATTTGGGTTATAGTTCCACAGTGTGTAGTTGAGCTTGTTGTCCTCCATGGCGGAGATCAAGCCGTTCATCAAATGGCGTTGCGTGTCGTAGCACCCTGTGCGGAAAGCTTCTGCCTTGTTGATGTCGTACGAGAGGCCAATCTCGCCAATAACCATGGGAACTTTACCCAAGGATTGCTTTCCGTACTTGACAATGTTGCCAAGCTGCCTTCTGTAGTTGTGTCGAAGTCCTGCGACGCCAAAGTAGAGCGCGTTGAGGACAAACATGCCTCGCGTGAGACCTTGGACATTGACGCTCATCCAGGAATGACTCTTGTTAAAAAGGACATTGAGATCGTAGAAATGAGGCGCATACACAAAGTTCTGTGGGCGTGGAATCTTGATCACTTCCTTCTCAGCATACTTCTGCCGAAGCCATTTCTTGTTATCAGGATCCTGCGTCGGCCACGGCGGTATGAACTCATTGGGGATCGGTTCAATGAAGCTAAACTGCTTCGTCTTCTTGCGCGACACACGCTCCGTAAACTTCTGCAGAAAAGGCGCATAGCAGTCGTTGTACCACTCAATAGGCTTTCCCTCACGACCTGGTCGGTGATCAACTTCAAAGTAATCATCGTCGCGAATACGTGCTGTCTTCTTCTTTTCGTCCCACTCCCAGACGCCATGGGCGCGCCACAGGCATTCACCCATTCCCCGACCGTGGCCGATAGGTTGGTCTTTGAGGGACAACCATGCAGAGCGACCTTTGGGGTCAATACGAGACTTGTGGGATACACGAGTTGGCCATGGCCATGATTTGACATAGTAATCGACATCTTGGGCATAGCCACTTCCAAGGGCGAGAGCTTGTGCGAGGGACGGGCAGTGGCCGATGTGTAAATCGGTGTCGTAGTTCCAGAAGTGAAAATGATGAAGGTTGACGAGGCCGCGATGGGGTTCATTCATAGGTTCAAAGCCAATGCATGCTTCGAGATGGCTGACTTCATCTGCTAGGCGACCGAAGGCTTCAACGCAGGCGTCTTGGAGGAATTGTTGTGCTGATACTTCATCGCCGGCGTCCCTTTTGCGACGACATTTGAGATTGGGAGCTAAAGCATCACCAGCCCAAAAGAGAGTAGCCATTGTCGACGCAGCGAGCTTCTGGTAGCCTGAGGGCCACAAGAATGGACCACCTGGTTCTTTTGGATTTGGTGGTTCACTCGCCCGTTTCTTCTCATCTTGACTGTGGACGTAGGCAGCGCCTGTGTCGGTGAAGGCCTCGATGTCGAGACCTACAACTTCAAACGTCCAGCCAGGTGCACCGCTTCCACCACTGTACCGACTCCAAACATCTTGATGCGCACAAACAAAGCACTTAATACCATACTCAGGCATGAGCTCAATCAATTGGCGCAGGTAGTCGATGTACTCTGTATCCAGGTCCTCAGGGTCTGGTCCAGCATGGCCAATTGACTCCCAGGTAACGAGCAATCTCACAAAGGGCACACCCCAAGTCTGCAGACGGCGAAAGTGCAGCGGCGCATCTTCCAATGGAAAAGGTCTTCCCACAAAAGTGACGATGCGATGGTTCTCATAGAAGCCATGATCCAGGTGAGACAGGCCGTTTGGCTCAGTGGGTAGTTTAGAAGCACCCGAGATGTTTAGGCCGCGAAGGGAGAGGACGCGGTTGTAGTTGTCGACGAAATACTCGTCCTTGATACGAATTGGACCGCCTAACGCAGCGTCCGAGAGGTCAGCTGCTGCGTGGATGGACATCTTGGGTGTGAGTGAGCGTGTGAAGCGGAGGACACGGTCGGGACACGCAAGCTGAAGGGGCAACTGGAGGCACAGTACAGGCAGCACAGCTGAGCTCTAAAGTACTCCACTGTGATGCTTGGCTTCCCTATTCTTAGCGGTGTGGCACCAGTATCACCGTAATTGACATGGATCATTTGACGGGTGCGCCAGAACAATGATCAGTAGAAACTGTAAAATGAGGACAGTGAGGTGGATTTATATGCTGTATGATCTCTTCACACTTTGGCATTGGGACCACTATACATTTTTGGCGTGGTGGGAAACGTTGATTAAAAACACCATTGTGGCCATGACCTCACTTAACTGCGTTGTTGGATGGGCATCATTAAAATATTGAGGGGACTTTAACGATTTCTTCGGGCGTCTCGGCGGGACATCATACAAGCTTTACACAGAGTCAAACTCAATGGATAATGTAAAAATGAAGGTCATGTCTTCGTAAATTAAAATGTTGTTTCGCAACACTAAATATCCAACGCTATGCGCTCATATCCAAATGTGCTTCCATTGCTTCAATGCCATACGCTAACAATGCACCGGCCTATACCAGAACCCACCCAGAAGAAAAAGAGAAAAGCATCTAATTTTCCTGTCTGTCCCTCCTGTTCACCATCGCATAACTCATTCTGCGCGCCGCCCTGTCGCCCCAATTCATCACCGAAAGACCTGGTGACCGTCCTGTGGCCATAGCCTTTTCCTGCCTCACGTCACCCTCAACGCCAAAAGAGTAAGTCCTCTCGCCAGTTCGATCAGACACAATTCCGAATCCAATCTTGCTACTCTTGACGTCAGCTTCCCTCTCCCATCGAAGCTTGTCAAGACTGGAAGCTCTCGTGGCTGCAAGAATGGCAGAGAAGCTTAGACTTCGCATCATGGCATCCTCTTCCATGGCGTTCACGCCAGACGCCACCGCAAGAATGGTGATTCCCATGGATAACGCGTACACTGCCCATAATTGCGCATAATTATAGAAGAAGCAGTTTCTATTCTGCCATCTGACGCAGGGGTAATCCAAGTCTGGGCCACTGTCGAATCGTCCTGAGTATTTCGACGGGTCAGCTGCCCAAGACACCGCAGACATTTGCGGATCGGACAGGAATGATATCAGAATTTCCTCGTAGAACTTTTGCACCTCGAGGGGAAAGTTCGCGACTGGCAGGTAATTGAGACGATCAAGCAATCTCGTCTGGAGAATCTCGCTGTTAACGTTGAAGTTGGGCATTGTAGTCGTACCATTCAAAATGGCCCGCAATTGACTTCCCACGGCGTGGTAAGCGGCTGTCAAGCGATAATTCTTAGTGTCATTGGGGAACACGTAGTTATCCTCAGGCGTCGCCAAGGTCCGGTCCTTAAGCCTCTTATCGGGATCCTTCTTATCGGGGATAAAGGTCGTATCTATGACTTTCTTGAGGAACTTACGCTCTTGGACATCGTGATACTGAACCCCGCCACTGTGGTTGAACTGAACCTTGTACTTGGTCTGGTAGTGCTCACAGCCAAAAATGGTGGGGGTGTAGGCTTTGAACCAGTCACCTTCTTGAGGCTTGTCGGGCTGGGGCTTGGTTCTGTCCTCAACATCAGCGTAACCGAACCAGAGGATGGGCTCTGTCCGGAAGGCAGCAAAGTTCCTCGGGTAAGGCGGTTTCGCCTTTGGTCTTCCACCAGCTTCCGCGACCATCTGGGGGTTCTCATAATCTCCTCGGTCCAGCATTGCATAGTATGTAAGGTTTCCCATGGGAGCGAGGACTGATGTGTCAAAAGGACACTCTGCGTCACCGAGCTTCTTCACTTTGGCTTTCACTCCCGAGGCCAAATCCGTACATTTGTATCCTGGACCAACGAACTCAATGGTATAAGAGCAATTCCAGCCTTTGCCGCAGATTTCCGCAGGCGCTTTCGGGCGCATGATGGCTTGTTGGGTGTATGCTGTTTTTAAAGCGATGGTATTGAATTGACGACTCGATGCCGTGAAGTAGTCAAACTCCTCAGGCTTGTTCTTATCGGGTGTTTCTCCCGCCGGAGCAGTGGAATTCCACAAGGAGACGGAAGACTCAAAATAGCCATCAACTCTGACGGGGTCTCTCCAGTACACAGTCTCTTCATGAGTGAAATTGAGAGTGCGAACATTTTGACAGCGTGTTATTTCTTCCTTCCGTTGCGGTACGACAGTAAGGGTATAAGATGTAAAAATGACAATTAGAGGCGACGTCCAGATGAATATTGTCAGTGCCATTGCGAACTTGGCGTTTACCCAAGCTTCCCAATTGAGAAGGGCTGTCAGATCCTCGGAGGCCGCGAAAAGCGAGTCAAGAGTGGAGAGCGTAAGCATCTTGCGACGGATCATCATCAAGACGCGCTGTCGGAAAGCGAGCACCACGGCATTGAGAAAGCAGGCCTTGGAAAGGAATGCTAGTAGAGCGCCGTATCGAAACTTGCCCTGCTGGTCGTTGGCAAGTTGTCCGTGGAGTCCCCGATAGTAGAAATGGTGGCCCACGGCGAATGCGATCCCCGAGAAGACGAGGACGTACATGCTCCATGATGGCTTCCATTCATGTATCCACCAATTTATCAATCTATTTCGAGGAGGCCCATTTGGAGGGACACCGGGAGGACCAGGCATACCGGGAGGACCTTGAGGCACATCGGGAGGACTGTTCCTTGGCAGCTCACTAGCCATCAAGAGCGAAGCGTTGCTGTCCTCCCTGTAATTCTGAGGTCGACCGGTACCCGGCGTGTGAGGATACGCCGGCTCCCATATTCCCAGCGGTGTCGAAGCGCCATAGTAGGCTGTGTCGGTCGTGGTTTGCCGCTGTAGATATGGTTGATGAGTTGCGCGCTGGGCAAAGGACGAGGTCGAGTAGTCGGGAGAGGTATACGGCGAGGTATTCTTCACGGATCCGATAGGTTTCCTAGCGATAGACGGACTCGTGGGCTCCCAATTCGATTGCGCGTGTTGTGAAGAGGGATCGTGATCAGGGTAATCCCTCAGCTCCATGGTGACGGGGAGGAGCTGGAACTCAACTGCAGCTGGAGCTGTAGGTAAATTGAGTTATGGTTTGGAGAGGCCCTAGCGGCCCGGTCAGTTCCCCGCAGTGCCCTGAGCTTAAAAGCGGGAGGAGGTCGGCCTTTGCTTGGCAACGAGTTGGGACTTTTATTCGCAGGTGATTGATTAGTTGGTATCTGAGAGGAGGATGAGAAGAAGAAGAAAAGACCCTGAAGGGTTTAAAGAAGAGACCACGGCACTTCCCACCCATTCCCAGCCTTGTTGGATTCAGCACTAAACCCATCTCTGCAATGTCACCGTTCAGGGCTGAGCTTTTTGTTCTGTCGGGGGGTGACATGGCTGGGTTCCTGGTAGGGCTGGTATTTCGTTGATTGGCTTCCTGGGAGAGCAGCTGAGGGAGAGCAAAAAGCCACAGAGTCCAATGGTCTCACGCCAACGTGGTCTGGACTTTGGAAGAAGCTTGCGCTTGCTGACTGCTACTAAGCCCCCTGCCTCCGCCACTGCCAGTGTGTTTATAGCGAGAGCCCCAGGCTAAGGTGGTACCCAAATTACATTATGGAGCCCACCTCAGATTATCTACCATGCGTCGAACCCGCTGGTGGGTGTCTTGGCGAAGGCCGATGCCGATGCGATCCAACGCTGGCCCATTGCGTATTGGCTGATGCTGTTTCTGCATGTGAGACGGGATAAAGGATTTTTGCTGTACGTTACGTATGTGCTCTGCTTACTGTTACTTTTACTGTTACCGTCACTTCTTTGGGGTTGAGTATACGAACCCATGATTCAGACTCGTAAGAGGAACAAGCATACCTCACTTAAAATGCTAGCCCCTAATTTGTTACCCGAAGCTCTGCCTCTACGGTCCGACGAACCGTGTTGGTTCTCGTGAATCCATTCCTGATCAGGTTATACTGTCAACTCATCGTCAAATGCTGAACAATTATCCGTATCCAAGATCCACATGATGTCGTCAACAACCAAGTTTAAAGAAATAAATAAATCTCATCATGTCGCTGGGAATCCTCCTCCTGTTTTCCACTTCCTTTATGGACGGCGTTTAAATTTAACCTAAACCTCCGTTCCTGTCAGCACATATTCTCCACTATGGCTGCCTCTTCTACAGCCACAATTGGCTCCTACGAGCTGACGTCTCGCGCAATCAACGAGCCCCCTGCCGCTGCGGTCCGCGAGGGATCGGGTATTTTTGACGAAACTCGGAGGCTTGGCTCTCGCTACGGTGAAGATTACTCAGACGGTGGTGTTGAGAGCGTCGCGGCACAGAATGCTCCCGCGGAGGTTGCTGAGAGCTGGAAATATCCCCGCCAGAATGTTTTCAGAACCGGAGCGGCCTTTTGGAGTCTTTTGACCTCCGGGGCCAATGATGCTGCATACGGCGTACGATCCCTGTGAAATTCTCTGCTTGATACCATTTCTGACATTAAAATGACAGGCCTTGATCCCATACGTACGTCAACCGGCTCCTCCGAGGGCTGAGTTACTAACAGATTGCAGCTAGAAGAATATTACAACTTGAGCTACATCATAGTATCTCTTGTTTTCCTCTCACCCTTTGTTGGTTATATCTTAGCAGCAGTCTTGAATAATACCCTGCATCGACGGGTTGGACAGCGAGGAATCGGCATTACTTGCGGAATATGCCATATTCTCGCCTACATCATTATCGCTGTTCACCCTCCGTACCCCGTCTTGGTTCTTGCGTACTGTCTTGCTGGTTTCGGAAACGGAATCAGTGATGCTGCTTGGAATGCCTGGATTGGCAATCTCGATAAGGCCAATGAGACTCTTGGCTTCCTTCATGCCTTTTACGGCGTTGGGGGAGTTATCAGTCCTCTTATCGCAACTAACATGATCGCAAAGGCTGACTTGCCTTGGTATACATTCTACTATGTTATGGTGAGTCGCATATGTAGATATGCTTATGAAAGGCACAATATTAACCGCTGAGCTCAGATCGGGCTGGCCACTATCGAATTTGTTACTTGCACTTGGGCATTCTGGCCCAATGGTCCAGAAATCTATCGCCAAACCATGGACGCAAGCAACGAGGACAACCAGGGCATGAAGGAAGCCTTGTTCAAGCTTCCTTTCGCTCGTGTCACTTGGCTTTGTGCCGCATTCCTCCTCTGTTACGTCGGTGTTGAGGTTTCTGTCGGCGGTTGGATCGTCCAGTTCATGATTCGCGTACGAAAGGCTGAGAACTACCCAGCTGGTATGACCTCCATGGGCTTCTGGTTGGGTCTCGCCGTCGGCCGTGCTATCCTGGGGTTTGTAACTCCACTTCTTGGAGTCAAAGTTGCAGTATCTCTGTATTTGCCTGCCGCTATGGCCCTTCAGCTAATCTTCTGGCTGGTTCCGAGCTTTTATGTCTCAGCCGTAACAGTGGCACTCCAGGGTTTCTTTCTCGGTCCATTATTCCCTGCAGTCGTCGTTGCTACTACAAAAATGTTGCCCAAGCACTTACATGTTAGCACTATTGGTTTCGCAGCCGCTTTTGGTGGTAGTGGTGCTGCAATTCTGCCCTTTGCCGTGGGTGCTATTGCTCAAGCCAAGGGCGTCAAGACTCTCCAGCCGATTATCCTGGCTTTCTTGACTGCATTGCTGGGACTTTGGCTATGTCTCCCAAGAATTGGCAAGAAGAGGGATTAAGACCCTAAGGGTCAGCAACAATCAGTCTTTCGTCACTGTCTTGTTAAAGTCAGGTCAACTATAGCTCCTGTCCCCAACAAATTAGACTTCGCTCAATGATAGAACGAGGACTTGTAGAAAGTTAATTGTTTCTTCATAGAACAGCCAAATGATATGAAGTCTTGAAGAACCAGGATCCCAAGCGAGCCTTTGCGTCCCGGAGGTAACTCGGCCTTTAAAAGACATACCCTAAGTGTCATCATTAAATCCGGAAGCTTTCAGGATAGTAATATAATGGCTACGATCAAAGTCCGAACCGCCGCTCAATGCTTTCATGAATCATAAGTTCTCATCCATCACGGGCTAGTGCTGTAGATCCTGCGAGCCGTGCCGCCTGCTAGTCCCTCATGGACGAATCGCCCATAGCCACAACTTTCTACGGAAACTAGGTAGCAGATAGACGAGCGTTCCACCTGTGACTTGATGCTAAAGGATAAATTGGCTTGAGTTGTTTGACATAAGAGATGAATGTCTATCAATTCCGTAGATCTGCAGTGAGAGCTGTGCTGGAACTCGCATGTCTATAGGCACCCGGTTCTGGCCGCACTGATATCCCCAGGATCTAGTATCTGGCCTGATGGTCTAGCGGTATGATTCTTGCTTCGGGAGTGACATCTCAGTTCTGTTTAGAAAGAACTATAGTTTGCGAGAGGTCCCGGGTTCAATCCCCGGTCAGGCCCTGTTTTTGCTAGTCAGGCTGTTTGGTTTTCTTTTTGGTGATCGAGATAACATTCAGGAGACGGTATAGGATAGCTTCGTATTGCACTTGCACTGTGCTGGTGAGTTGACTTGTTGAGGGACATTGTACAAGACAACTTGCTGCTGTGAATGCACACCTTCTTCCTTGTCAGTATTTACTGGAAATCGAACTTTGATTTATCATGGGAACTTATTGAAGGTAGAAGTTTAGGAGAATCATACACTTCAGATTAGCGGTAGCTCAGAGAACACAGTAGTTATTATCTATTATCAAGGTGTGCTGCAGGATATAGCCCAATGAACCTCTGCGTAAGGCAATACTACTATTCAATATACCCTATAATCCGTATTGAAATTTTGACAAGTTTTGAAGAGTAAAAAAAAAAAACCCTCAATTAGAGTCCAACATCAGAAGCATTGATGTCCACAGTCTTGTTCTCCTTTAAAGCCTCTTTCACAGCTTGACAGACAACAAGTGCAGCTAGGCCATCTCTCGGTGTGCAATTCGGAGTCGCCTCACCACGAATAACCTTGATGAAGTGATCTAGCTGTAGCTCGAAAGGCACGCCATCTGGTACAGGGACGTTCTTCAGAACAAGCTCCTGGTGCCATGATTTTTGGCCTTCAGCATAGGAAGATAGAGTCATATCTGGCACACTCAATGATGCGTCGGTGCCAAAGATACGGTAAAAGTCTTTACCAGTTTTGGGGATCAATGGGTTCTCTCCAGTACCGGACTCAAAGTTATGCGGTGACGGGACATTGTCCGAGAACAGGAAGCTTCCCACAGCACCAGACTTGAAGCGAAGTGTCAAAACTGCGCCCTCTTCAGCCTCAAACCCACGCTGTGATATGGTCTTTTCTGCATGAACCCGCGTAATGGGGCCAAAGAGATAGTGCAACAGATCGATCTCATGGACAAGATTGATGAGAACAACACCACCCGTATTCTCTCTTCGCCATTCCCGTGGAGGGTCAAAGTATTCCATTGGTTTATAAGTCGCCCAAATTCCATTCACTGCAATGATTTTCCCAAGAGAACCAGAACCAACAGTTTCCTTTGCAGTCATCATATAAGGATTGAATCGTCGATGGTGTGCGACCAAAGCCTTGACGTCTAATTTATCGAGATGATCAACCAAATCCTTTCCGCTCTGAATATCTGTACAGAAAGGCTTTTCAATAAGTATGTGAATACCCGCTGAGGATAGCTCGCGAGCCAGAAGGACGTGTGTGTGATTGGGCGTGCAGATAATGGCTGCTTGAGGTTTATTCGACGATTGCAGCATATCAGCCACGGACTTGAAGTAGACAGCTCCAAGCTCTTGAGCTAGTTGTTCACCATTTGGCATTAGGTCGACAACAGCTACCAGCTTTGCTTGGCTGTTCTTGATCACAGTCTGGGCGTGACGAGGCCCAATTAGGCCGACACCAATGATGGCAAATGTGATGGGCTCAGAAGACATATTGAATTGGAGTAATCGGTGCTCTCTGATGATCTCAAACGACATGGTCTTCTACGTAATTTATACCTCTATATCGGCTTCTTGTGACTCATTATTATCGCCAAAATGTTTACCCCAGACGCTTTGATGTGACAAAAGGCGGGGTATGGGGAATGTTAATTGAGGTCATCGGAGCGATGGATTTTAGTATCGCGTTAAACATTTTACCGTCCCAAAAATGATCTGACAAACCATAGCTTATACAGCAAGGCTAAGCCACTACGGGAAAACCCAGCTTCCCTGTGCTCAAGACTGACGGTTTTAAACAGAATGGTAGATTCGAGTGGGCGTCCGCCACAATAGTTCGAATTGGATGTGAACCATGAATAGGGATTGAAAGTCCAACGAATAAGCTTGCGGCAGCTAGATAATCATTAGACGGAATATTGTTCGACCGTTGAGTCCCAGCGGTATTGGGTGACTCCGACGCGTGACGTGAGGGAGGACCTTTTTTTAAAACATTAACATTACACTTGAGTAACCGACCATACGACCAAATTGAAGAGTCTCATACAAGGGCCACAATTCGAAAGAAAATGTCTCGTGATGAACCCTTCTCCTCTGATGTCTCCGGAAGTGATAGTGGACAAGAAGAGACGGATTCATACCCTTTCCCATTGAAGAACACACCAGCAGACGAGGTTGAAATCGAGTCAAAGAGAAAAGGAAAAAGCATTTATCAGAACTATGAAATCCTTGGAAGAATCCTGGAGCGGCATGAAGAGACCATACAGAAGCGGTGGCTCAAGAAAAACAGAAAGCAACGGCTCGAGGTCCTTCTCACTGCATGGCCAGACATGCCACCGACCCATCGGCCTTTTTATGACCTTTGGAGACATGTAGACACGGATCCCGAGGTCAAGTTCAAGCAACATAGTTCCATCTTGCGGCCTTATATCAATAAGGAGTCCCTTGGCAAGCCCACGCCGTTCCTCTTACTTCTCAATTCTAGAGGCCGTCACCCGCCTCCCTTGTTCCTCGATAAGGATCACCAATACTTCCACAAAGCAATACAGACCGAAATGGTAGTGAAAAAGCCGTACCCTACAGAAGACATGAGTATGCTACTCCGCGGCGTTCCCGAAGACGATTATGGGATCGTGAAGAAATTCCCAGAAGCTGCCCCGGGAGTTTAGCTTCATTTGTCAAATAAGGACTATGCCTGGCCAACATCTACCCTCTATGGCAAGGAGTGGCCGGTGTGGCAGTACTCTACCGCATCGGGCATAGTGATTCTAGAGGTACAAGAGCGCTTGATGGACTTCCTTGTCAAGTGTTGCTATCGAATCCTGCACGAAATTGAGCCGCACAACTTATTCAGTGATGTTCATCCTGTTCAGCCCGAACCCGAGCTTCCTTCGACTACGCAGACTGAAGGATTACAGACCTCCCTTCTCGAGATTACCTTTGAAGCACCTTACCGTGTGCCAACTCGGCTCAACTTTGCCAATCTTGAAAAGCTATTTGCGGCTAGGGCCGCCGCTGCAGAGGATCACGTATGGGCGATGCGCGAGGATCCCAATTACTTTGCCGAACACATCAGTGACATGTACGATCATGTGCTACTCATCGGCGATACGAGAGAACATAAAAGCAAATGGGGAGCAGCCATTGGTGAGGTTCTGGCTAACGCATACACAATGATTGAGGTTTTCACTGGAGCTCATCGAATTACTAAACGCCTGTGTCAACTGCAAGAAAAATATGCGAGTGTTGTAACCCCTACCGAGAAACTGCCCGATGAATACAACAATCAGATTCGCCATTTCCTTTCTTTCGTCCTTACTATGAGAGAGGTTATTTTTCTGCCAAAGCTCGAGCTCTTGGTCAAGCGTTCCCCCCCGTTCCGAGCTGCTATGACCCTTTGGCGCTTTCGTCCTGAGGACAGGGATAGGCCTCTGACATATAACGAGCAATTTTGGCTCAAGTGGGTGGTCGGGCATCTATATGATTCGAGGGGCATGCTTGATAACGAGAATGACGTGGTTCCTGATATCTTTGCAATGAATATGGTCGTGGATGATCTGGAACTACAGATGGAAAGGGATAAGACAATTCGCGACTTGCTATCACCAACTTCCCATGCCATGATGGGTGACTTCACTATAATCATCCAGACTTTGCATGCGCTCGAGCGTTTCGAGCCGTGGAATCGAGGTTTCGGTGGTGAGGCTGACGATGATTCTATGGACTGGTCGACGGATTCTATCAGAGCCAGGCTTAGCATTTTGGAACAAATTCACGAAGCTTTTGAAAGCACTCCCGCGCCCGCTCTTCTCCCGTTTGTCGAAAATAAGCTGGGGAAATTTACATATCCGGAACGCCGACGCAGGAACAAGGAGACCGTCGAGATGATGCGTCGAGCAGAGTCCAATCTAGATGCTTTCTGGGCCAGAGCAGACCGGTATCTCTACGATTGGACAAAGAACGTGAATGACAGCCCGTGTTTTGCAGAGGGCACCTGAATGGGCTGAGCCAACCAAAGAGAAGAGAAAAGTCCTTGACATTGAGCAACCCTTGTCGACTTTTTTCTTTGGTTTGTCTAGTGACAATCGAGATACTAAGGCGTCAGGTCGTCTTTCAGTGAAGCCACCGAAGGCGAAACTCAAGACCAGAGGAACTGCGACTAAATCAACGGAGACCGATGAAGCTCCAACTGAAGCGATGGCCGATGTCGCACTGGAGGATCCAAAGCCGATATTCATGGTCGACGGACGGGCGCTCAAGACATTCCGCATTCTCTTTTACGATCCAGTTGGTTCATGATAACCAGAACTGCTTGCCACCAAATCTACGTTTAAACTTAGTTTTAAAGCATCTATAAAATGTTGTTCTAAGCTTACAACTTCATCTAAGCTAGAATTCTCATCCATTATATAAACTGTAAGATTTGTATCTTGAAATCCGTGTTTATTAAAATAACGCAACACTCTATGTCACTTCTACCCCGGGTGAAGTTCCATGGAACGACTTTTTGCATGCGTTGACTTCAGTTGGGCTTGTTGCCGAGAAGCTATACGGGTCTGTTTGGCAATTCTCACCATATACTCTGGAAGCCAATGGGAGTATTCACTTTCACGAACCTCACCCACATAATAAAGTACCCTTTGTCATTGCTAGACGCCATGGGCGGAGACTTTACCGAACTTATGGGTGGACTGGGGAGCAATTTGTACTCGACAAGTAAGATTGTAATGTGTTGAGGTCGAACATAGGTTAGATGCGATGAGTGTCTACTGAAGGGATGCAGTGGCGTAACGGACTAATTTCGAAAACTTTTAATAAACAACAGAGCTACTCAATATTATATATACGAGTGACCCTCGAGCAAGGCTCGGGGCAATATGAGTGAAGAGCCAAGGTCTTGCATTTTTGCGCACCTTGGGAACCTGCGACAACCAATTGAGGCGATGATGGCCTACTGGAGTAAACCTTCCAACCTCGGATACTACTTCAAGTTCACTCCGCATATCGGAAGCGACGGTAATTAATTGCTTGGGAGGTGATTGGATCGAGATTTCAGGGTCTCATGCTGGAGTGGCAGGGCCTTGATGGTGTGAGAGCGTGGGGCACAAGCGTGATTGAGACTAACAAAGACGCAATATGGTGAAAGAGGAACGGGAGATACGACAGCGAATGGCCATGCAGAATGATTAGATTACGACATGATGTAACAGAAGAGCTAGCTAACGTGCTCATGGGAAAGATGCGATAAGGATAGAAGAATAGCTCAAGGCATTCAGTATCCCAGTCCTGTCGCTTGGAGAGATTCATCGGCAATTGAACCTTCACCATCATTCCCGAGCACGATATTCCCGTCAATTAACGATGGCTACCGCAGCAGTAATTAACGGTGCAATCAATGGCTTCAATAATAGAGAGTCAGACTTGTCGCACGTTGCTGTAGAGAGTGCGCCGGCTGAGAAGTCAACTCCAATTACCCAGACCAAGGACAGCGCATCAACAACCGTACGAGATGGACCAGACGTGGACGAGACATCGCCTTATTACAGCCCTCGCCTGAAACTGGTCGAGAGATTCGTTGACGAGCCACGTCCGCTAAGAGTTGGTGTCATTGGCGCTGGCTTGGCCGGGATCACAGCAGGCATTCTTCTACCAGCCAAAGTCCCTGGAATCAAGCTTACCATCTACGAAAAGAATGCCGATGTCGTAAGTTAGAACGCCAAATTGCTTCAAGATTGATATAACTGACAACTTTGTAGGCAGGGACATGGTTTGAGAACGTTTACCCCGGTGTAAGATGCGATATTGCATCACACGTCTACCAAAGCACATTCGCGCCCAAGACAGACTGGTCAGACAAGTACGCACCGGGCCACGAGATCCGAGAATATTGGCAATCGGTCGCACGAAAGTTTGATGTCTACAAATATGTCAAGCTCGATACCAGAGTCGAGGGCACAACCTGGGACGATGAAGAGGGCGTGTGGATCACGAAGCTGCGGAACGTGAAGACGGGCGAAGAGACGGTCGAGAAGAACGAGTTCATCTTGACCAGTATCGGACGCTTCAATGATTGGAAATTGCCTGATTATCCTGGAATATCGGAGTACAAAGGACATCTTCGCCATGCCTCCAATTGGAGCACGGATTTTGATCCCAGGGATAAGACGGTCGCTGTCATTGGCAATGGAGCGAGCGGTATCCAAGTCACAGCGAACCTTCAGCCAATTGTCAAGCGACTCGATCATTATGCCCGAAACAAAACTTGGATTGCCGCGTCCTGGGCTGGTGAAGAACGAAAGATTGAAGCCCAGCCATATACAGAGGAGGAGAAGAAGAAGTGGGCAGAAGACCCCGACGCTTACTTGGCCTTCCGAAAGGACCTCGAGAGTCTATACTGGACTAGATTTGACTCATTCTTCCGAAATAGCGAGTCTAATCAGAAGCTCCGCGAAGCATTCATCGATATCATGAAGAAGCGTCTAGTCAAGAAGCCAGAACTTCTCGAGCATATCGTACCAGACTTCTCGCCAAATTGCCGACGTCTCACGCCTGGGCCAGGGTATCTCGAGGCCATTACTGAAGACAACGTAGAGTATATCCGTACACGAATTAGGCGCTTCACAGAGACGGGCATCGAGACTGAGGATGGCAAGCAGAGAGATGTCGATGCTGTCATTTGCGCGACTGGCGCAAACGTTGATATGGTTCCAGCATTCCCAATCCGCGCTCATGGACAGGAGCTCAGTAATCTGTGGAAGGCCGATGGAACATACGGATATCCTTACACATACTTTGGGCTGGGAACACCTGGTTTCCCCAACCTTCTCTTCGTCCATGGACCGCAAGCAACAGGGCCATCGGGAACAGTCCCTCACAGCGTCGAGACTCAATTGACATACTTCGCCAAGGTCCTCCGCAAGGTTTCGCGACAGGGCATCAAGTCTTTGAGCCCTTCTAAACAAGCAGCGGACGACTTTGTGGAGTACTCGGATGCCTTTTTTGCCAAGACAGTTCTTACAGATAAATGCAGTTCATGGTACAATGGCGGGAGACCTGGAGCTAGAATTCACGGGCTCTGGCCAGGCAGTGCAGGCCATATCACATTTGTGCGACAGGAACCTAGATGGGAAGATTGGGAGTACAAGTATATCGGCGACTCCAAGAACCGTTTTGCGCATTACTTAGGCAATGGATGGACCAAGAGAGAGACGGACATAGAGGCTGACCAGACGCCGTATCTTCAGAGGCCAGATAAGATCGATTTGCGGGATATTCACGAGAAGTGGTGGAGTATTCCATAGACAGTTAGTCTAGTAGACTCGACAATAAAGTGAAGATGAGCTTTTGGGGCAAGATCTCGTCATGACATGGTCCCACGCACGTAATCGCGCGACTCGCCCGCACCTCCACGTGGAGAGCCCGTCTAATCTATCACGACTGCACTAAAGCATCGGAGCCGCTAAACATCCTTGCATTAGCTTCGTCAATGGGACCATCTTTCTCGGGGAGTTGATCTCAGATCCTCCCTCCACGTACGCAGACTGATACTTGGAGCCGTAACCGAGGACAAGCCAAAAGACAAGACTATGCTAGCGAGCAAAACATTTTCGAGTCTCGAACCGGATACATACCGAGACTCTGGTAAACGCAATGCCGCCACAGATATACGTTTTGCGCTAGAAGAGTTAATGGCCAAAGGGCTGGGACTTCGGCAGTTGAGCTGTAGGTGCGGTCAAGGGTTGGATGGCGTGCTGGTGCTATCGTGTTGGGCGGTGGTTTCATGATGTGAAGGGAAATATAAATGTTGATCTTGTACCTACTTCTACAGAACATTTTACAGCCGTGTCTCGCTAAGGATTCTGACAGCTATCAAGCTTTCTCAACTTTCTTCAGTCCATACAGGATCATTCAGACAAGATGACAGTGGTGGAAAATCGACATGCGGACAGCGAGGTTGCTGCTCCTCCCAAGGATCAGCTTCTTCCTGGTAAGACGCACTCCCAATATGCACGTCGTCTACTAACACTGCCCAGTCAAGTGGTATCGCTCCACATTCTTCAACATCACAGTGCTTGGCTTGTGTAACCTGTCTGCCCCGGGTATCTGGGTAGCCATGAACTCGCTTGGTGCCGGTGGTGCAGCCTCGCCTAAGCTCATCAACGCTGCCAATGCCTTGACGTTCTGCCTCATGGTGGTGTCTTGTTACTTCTCAAGTACTCTGGTTCGATATATCGGCATCAAAGGTGCCCTGATCTTTGGAACGTAAGTCTACTCACACGATCGTACTTGTGAACACCGCTGATGGGAGGTAGTCTTGGTTATGCACCTTATGCAGCTGGTCTGTACACCAACAACCGCTTCGGAACAGAATGGCTCGTCCTCGTCGGTGCTGCTCTCTGTGGTATCTCCGCTGGTGTCTTCTGGATGGCCGAAGCTGCTATCGCCATCGCATATCCTGAGCCCTGGAACCGTGGTAAAGCTCTAGGTTACTGGCTCACATACCGTCTATCGGGTCAGATCCTCGGTGGTGCCATCAACCTTGGCCTCAATGCCGACCGTAACGAGGCTGGAAAAGTCTCTTACACTGTCTACCTCATCTTTATTGCCCTCCAAGCTGTTGGTCCGTTCGTTGCTCTGTTGCTCAGCAAGCCGCATCAGGTTCAGAGGAAAGATGGTGTCACGGTCAAGTTGGAGATTGATAAGCTTCCTAGCTTCGAGCTGAAGGAGACCGCCAGACTTTTCTTTACGAAGAAGTTCCTTCTGGTCGTTCTATTCATTGGACAGGCTGTCTTTGCGGAATCCGTATTCTTCACTTATCTTGCCTGTAAGGCTCCCCGGTCTCGCTTCAGGTATGATACTAACTGATGCAGTGTGGTTTTCTGTCCGATCCCGTGCTCTTGGATCTTTCTTGGGCGGTATTGTTGCCGTCACCGCTGGTAATATTCTGGGTGTAAGTCTTTCAACCGCCCATTTTGCATCTATCGCTGACAACATCTTG